TTTGACATTTCCAACGGCCCACGCCTATCACTGGATAGGGATGCGGCATTTGTGCACGATTTACCACCCATTGCTGATACAAACCAGGTTTGTTTTCAACGTCAACATTTTGTACATGACTCTACCGCTATATTGTAGATTAAAAAAGTGATATTTCTTGTATATTTAGCAAAAGCTGCGTGTATACATTATTATTCCTGTGGCAACCTATCTCTACTCTAGCTCCCAGAAAAGCAAGCTTTAAGTCGAGGCCTTCTTTACCCTCTAAGGGATCCAAACCCTAAGTGGGATGGCCTTTAAAGCATTATTTATATTACTCAGCCAAGCGTTCTCAACTGCACGAGAAAATACATACATGTATGATGCCAGCGGCTCACAAATCTTTTCGCTACTTTTTTTAATGAAATGCGGCGCTGCCTGGCGTAAGAAGATTATTGTTTATTGTTTGTTTATTGTTTATTGTTTGTTTTGCACTCACAAAATAAATGAAATATAACAATTGAAGCTACATGTAAGTAGACATGCATGGGACGGCCAGACACCTGCTGGTTTATCTTTGGCCCTTCCCAATACTATAATATTAAAAGTTACCATTGATACTGAATAAAAAAAAATTAAACGCAGAAGACAAGAATAACATGAAATAAACAGAAACAATTCGAAGAACTAATGAAACAATACGAATAATCTATCTGAACAAATAAAGAAAGACCAAGTTAATTAATCTAGTTATTACTAACATCAGTACAAATATAAATTCAAATCAACAAAACAAGGAAGGAAAGCAATCAAACTTAGGAAATGGTGGTTGGTTGAAGTATTATTTCTCTTTTTGAAAGCTTTTTGAAACTGGGTAAGAAGGGACATGTTCTCATAGCAAGGCTTAAGTTGTTCCACATAGTCATTCCATCGGCCATTACAGCAGCTTCAGGGCCATTTCTAGCCGACCTGATAGAAATGAAACCCCTGTCCTCATATGAATAAGGGACGGTCATATTCTCCAAGATTTATGAACGTGTCATAACTTCTCCAATAATCCGTATCCTACTGTACAGCATCTGGTAAAATGTGTTGATAGGGCATTTGGAATATTGCTACAGCTTTCCTGTTATATATATTTCGTCAGAACGTTTAGAAACAGAAATTTATTCAAAAGTACGGGGGCAACTTATTGGCTTTAGCATAGCAACATAACCAAATATATTTTGGTGTTATCAAGTATATGACTATGTGTTGTGTAGCTACCGTTTACAGTAGCACATACAGTTTGCTATGGGTTAGATGGACCTTAACAATTTATACGTCTTGATGCTGCTTGATGGTGTAGATATGCATGTATGAACGGTGGTAAAAGTATCTTTTGTAACCTTCCATATGCCCCCAGACACCATACAGACTTATATATGCCATATTGGTAGCTTGTACGACGACTGATGGCTCGTATGCTATGGATTCCAGCCAGAGGTCTACTTTCCTGCACTCAAAAGGATTTGCCATGGGTTTTTAATGTACGAAATCCTGATGTTTTATGTGGTTACATTTCCTGATGTTTTTGTGTATCTCCAAAAAGATGGAGTACTTGGAGGCAAACCGCATATGTTTGTCTTGATGTCTCGACGTTTCCCGGTTTACCATCATTGTCAAATTGAATGTGCAGATTACTATGTATCGTGTTTTGTATGGTTGGTAAGTATTTTCTGCAACAAACTTCCGTACTGTACTTACTTTGATCAATCAAGCTCTCTCTAGAGCCAATTCATATTACCCTGTTATACATCATAAACTTGATCTTCTTCACCCCTAAAACGTTTATTCCAGCTCTTATATTATATTAGTTTTTTTTTATTATGTTACGTTTGGAGTCCTGCGCCACGGCTTCTTCTGCCCTTTGCACGCTCACAGAAGACTAAGTTGTAATTATACGGTGGAATACGAAAGACGAAACGCATTTTATCTCAAATTAATATTGTACTCTCACATTATAGCGAATGAACGAAATGAACTTTTTGACACAGCCTCCAAATTCTACCCTAACTTTCACACATTAGCCCTCGGGCATGAATTTTCAATAAACTTTCTTTGAATCATTTGAGGATATCTAATGCAGCAAGCAACCAGCCTTTACCAAGAACTAATAAAATGTTACTCTCAAAAAATACAATAATTGTGAATATACAAGAAATATCCAAACAATATTGAAATTCATTAGCATCGTTTCGGCTTCTATATGTACACGTACGCTAAAAGTGGATCCCAATAAACTTAAACTCAACTCAAACTCAAGGCAGTGTTAAACCACATAGACCAACAGTATCCAGTGAAAAATAGTTTCCGGTGAAAAAATTACATTAGACATAAATCAGAACTTTGCCAGCATAATAATATTTGGCTCCAACGTAGATAATGTGTATTTGGATGATAATTTACGCAAAGCTGTGGTATTAGCACCCTACATAGTTGCTAAACATCACATTAAAGCTTGTATAATGGATAGGTCGGAACCATCTCCCAAACTGTACGTAAATCTTACATCTAATGGCTGGTACATACTGAGTGCTGTTGGGAATGATATGGTGCAAGGTGGCATAATTTTTTTCTATTCTAACATTTATCACAATACATGGCGACGGCACACTCATGTTTTTTCATCTTATTTTTATGCCGCCACCAACTCAGACAAACAGACATACTCATTTTCAATTGAGTTAAGTTTGGAAATTCGTGTAAAGTGTCTTTCCACAAGATCGGTGGCATGGCAGGGTTCGAACTCGGGACCTCTAGGTTCCGAGGCGAACACTCTACCGTTACGCTCATCGCCACACGATCCCATAATTTTGCCTCAACCACCTTGACGCAACGCCGCTGAGGCTCCTGTCAAGCAAGCCCCTGTCACACATGGCCGAAATGGCATATGTATGGTTCCTTCTGGCTGTCAATACATCTGGTTGTACATGTCATTACTCGTATTTCCTGCCGTTGCCACCAAGCACAGTTTGGGCATCATCACTAGAAAGCTTTAAACAACACCTGCAATTAAATGTGCAAAGCTTGAGTGTAACAAGTCGTTCGGTGTATGTGATACAGCTAGCTGCCGCCGCGCCGCGTGCCTGCGAAGCTGGTGTGTTGTGTTACGCCGAAGGGCGGTTATACCGGCTATACTGATACAGATACAGAATAATCAATTCTCATCACATGCTTATGATTTAGATTGAAAAGGAGCCTAATACGTGATCCATCAATGCTTGTCTTACCTAGACTTTTCTTTCAAACATGTAAAGGCTACAGTTGACCAGAATGTCAATTCTGCCTTGCGGTGAAAAGGTCTTAACCGAATAAGGATGCTGTCTACTTGATGGATCACTATCTTCTTTACAAGCCAAGTGCTGCGTCGCTTGCAGCTTAGATTACGCCGTCCTCTACAGCGCCAAACCACTGTAGGATTATTATCTTCACGAAGGTTCTGTTATTGGGGGAAATCCTGTGTGAATGAGGTCGTTTTTAACCCCCTTGATGTGTGTGTGTGTGTGTGTGTGTGTGTGTGTGTGTGTGTGTGTGTGTGTGTGTGTGAGTGTGCGAGAAAGCTTGGGCGGATTGTCCTTATATTTGGTAAGTGGGTAGGTCTTGGCAGATTTTGGGGCCCCTGGTGGCTTGTCGTGGTAGTGCATCGGAACTTCTGGTTTTGATATCTGATATTTGGACATGCAAGGCGGATCATAGATAGCCCTTGTGTATGAGGCAGCAAACAAAATATAAAAGACAATACAAAATCATCATGCTACAAGCGTTCCACCCAACAAACTTCCAACAATTCCCTGTGGATCTTTCCGTGTCGAAACTATTTCAAATACCCTGATATTTTTCTGCTGCGCAAGTGGATTTTGTCGGCACAAACCTCTGGGGAGACTGTACTTGCGTCATGGCTAAGTGCTACAGCTTTACATCGGTAACGCAAGGCACTGGACGCCATCCCTAGATGGGATTTGCCGCCTGGTCGCCTTGTTTACTGGCAGTCCCAACACCTTTCCTACATGCCAATGTCTTGTAAAACTTGACCTTACATTGCAAATGTGCCCTCCAAATACCACGCTATATTATGGCACGCACTCTTGGGTCCTCCTTACCGTGCCCGGCATTGAATAAAACGTTACCAACTGCTTACCTGTTATGGTTTACATGAGTACGCTAACCTACCGAACTATGATGTTTTAAAAACGTTTAAATTGTTTTTTTAGATACATCATGATCTCAAAAGTATAGATATAGAAGTCTAAAATTGTAATCGTCACAGAATATTACTAGTAATATTTATGTAAATTGCGCCATACCAAGTCACACCCTTCAACAATGTTATTGAAGAAAACACAATTTATCTACGACCTCTTATACCCTACCTGATCGTCTTACTAACTTCCAGTATGCAAACTTTGAGGAAATATGGGGCACATAAATCCTGGCGAAGCCAAGACCTCAAGATTTACAATGCTAGACACAACAAGATAAGCTCTATTTCATCTTAGAGCATTTGATTGAGAATGGGTTAATACTTTAAGCTTTACGAATACCCATTTTAGAACACCTAATTGCTGATGTAATCCTACAGATACCATATGTTAAGTCTTCTGAGTGAACTTAAGGCTTTTGAGCACGAACTACTTGATAGGAGCGGTGCCAAGAGTAATAACTCCTCAAGCAAGGAGCGTTTACCAGATGTTTATCACAGACCTTATCACGTACTAACTATACGACTTGTCAGATGTGATTTTTCAAAACTGACAAGAAAGACACAGACCCCAGGCAAACTTAGTGGATCAAGCTAGGTTGCTCGTTAAAAAAGTGTTACATTTCTCTCAGATGTTTTACTTTATTTTTGATTATTCATACATATTTTTATGATATACATGTACAGGTAAGGCTTCTATCATGGAGAACGTTAGTAACGTGTCTCAGCCCATCAATGCAACTTTTTCTAAGTACTTTTCGTTATCGGTTTTGACATACAGGTCATCTGGTAGAATCCGGTGTGAAGACCTGTGGCATCATGGAGAACGTCAGTAACGTGTCCCAGCCCATGACTGCGGACGAGCTGTACGACTTAGACTTCCCGTCCAACATGACTGACGTCTTCCATCAGGACACTGACGGTGAAGTCCTGTGGGCGAAGATCTTCCTCTGCACGGTGTACTCTATCACCATGCTGACGTGCGGCGTCGGCAATCTCCTGCTCATGGTCGTCATAGCGAAATACAAGGAGATGCGGACCATCACCAACGCCCTGGTGGCCAACCTGGCGCTGTCTGACTTCCTCGTGGCGGTGTTCTGCCTGCCGTTTATCCTAGACTACCACATCGTCAGGCCCAACCGGCCCTGGACGTACGGCGACGTCACCTGCGCTGTCGTCAACTACGCCCGGATGACGTCCCTCTACGTCTCCACCAACGCACTACTGGTCATTGCAGTGGACAGGTCAGTCATGGTCATACTGGTAATATCTGAAGAATTCTGTTTTGACATTTCGTGCCTTACACTATACAAGGCAGAAGACGAATTACACTTTTCATTCAGTTCACGACAACGCACGAAATGAGTTGTCTATTCAACCCACTACAATTTATCTTAATTTTTCCTAAGCTTGCAGACAATGAAAAAGGTATTCTTCTACTAACATAAAACCCACAAATTTTGGGAAAGGTATTTTTGTGGGGTGGAGGAGTTTCTTTTTAGCTGACCACCTACACATGTATTGCAAAAGAGGTACATGTGTACCATTTTTAGGATAATCTTTCTAGTTTTTTCCTACTCTGGTACAGTGCTTCAGTGATTTATCGAGGTTCAACTTTGAATTGCAATGACCAAGGTTATCAAGTATACGCGTACAGTGCCAGGGAAGTAGAATCTGACATCAGTCAGCAATGGCTCTGCATTAATGCGTTAACTTGCGTTGATATTGACTTAGAGGGTAAAGCACAATCTGATGGAGCAGCTCTTATCATCTCTATGTTATCTACAAACGTTATGAGACACGAGTTTGTACTTAATGCAATACTGTGAATTGGATGCCATTGAAGTAGAATCTGGCGGCGATCAGCGATTGGTCCATAGTGTTAAAAGATTGAACCGAAGGGCAAACCACAGCGTGATAGAGAAACTCGTGTCATGTTTATGTGATTTGTAAACGTATTGTCGTGCAAACGAGCACACAAGCTTGCCCATAGGTCATATTCACGTAATCTAAAGCATACAGTATTATCAGGCATACCCAGATATACCATACCACTAGGTTTGAATAGACACAGTGCTGATTTCCGTTTAGATACAGAACTGTAAGTTCACAAATCAACCATGATAACAAAGATATGATGACGCTTTATATACGGCTTACCATTGCAAATCTTCAAGGTTAGTACCTGATGCAAGGTCAGGTAGAATGAGGCAACCATCAGCTAAAGTAGCTATATGTTATCCTTTAGAAAACGTATACATTATTGACTAATCAAACGTTACCTCAGATGAACTATACACTGTCATTTGAAAAATAAACACACTTCGGGTCGGATTTGATGAAAAATTTACAGAAACAAATCTTTGCAGCACTTGTGGTAGGTACGAGAATGTATTAATAAGCTATGCTAACTGACTTAAAAAAACAAAATTGTTTTGTATTCATGATGATTTATATGTTGTTTTATAGTTGTAAGTCATGTTACATATATCATACATGCATGTATATTCTAACCACGTATATGCATGCTGCGTTTTAACGGATGGAATACAGGAAGATCAGATTAGGCTGTTATGATATAAAGGAATGTGCAAAAAGTCCATAAAACACTTAGGGCCTTAAGCATGTCATCTCCACCATGCCCTATTGTACAGTGACCAAAATCAAAGACGCTCAAAAAGGTTAAGCGATTGCCTTATACTTTAGTGCGAAGTTAAACTTTTCTCCAAGCTAGGATTGATTTAAACCGAAGCTTAGTGTAGAACTTGAGTTATGACTTCACACTAGATAAATGAAGCACTTTTGTTAAGGTTAATGGAAGAGTGCATCTAAGATCTTAAAGTTATTATGATTTGTGAAATGAATATCACCCCAAACTGCCAGTCTGTGATTACATTTTGTATCTAACACACCGGCTTGTCGAAAAGGTTATTGAGTCAAGGCAAAGTAGAGTCGTGGTAAAGCTTTGACGGCGTACGCATTCTAAACGCAGTCTCCAAATGCTTTCAAGACGTCTGGCGACGAAAACATTAGGGGCATGCCCCATTAACGTAGACGTCAAAAGACATCAAAACTTCTTTCATTACAGCTCGTCAGAGCGAGTCAGCTCATATCCCACGGGTAGACGAACGCTTTTGATCAAGTTAGTGTTGGATGCATTAGTTACGAAGTTTCTAGTATATAGCCTTTACAAAATATTTGGAGGATGTGATTATGTATATTAATGAAGTTGCCCCCTTTCGTCTCAGATTGTTCATTCTATGGAAGCATGCTTGGCAGAATTGGGAATTTATCAGACGTTCCTATATGTGTTATTCATAATGATTGCTCATGCAATTATGACAAAACAAGTTGCAGTCCAAGATATGATTAAAATCTACCTGACACCCCAATAATGAATGCTGTTTTGAAATATTAATAAATGTAATGTGATATAAAGGCGCCGAACAATAAAAACAGGAAACAGTGTCAAATATGGTTATTATGATTAAGAATATGTTATGATTTGAACTATTGTTATGATTGTTATTATGATGAAGGATTTGTTTTGAACTATTGCTATGACAGTTGTTATGATCAATGATTTGTTATGATTGTAATTAATTGTTATGATTATTGTTTTGATGAATGATTTGTTATGATTTGAATTATTGTTATGATTATTGTTATAATCAAGGATTTGTTATGATTTGAATTATTCTGTAATGGATGGTTCAGTGTATGTATGTACGTATTGCTGGATTTCGTAACCGTTGGGGAAACAGTTGGAGCATCAGGGTAAATCAACCCACGTTAAACCTGGACGGCGGCAGGTATCGACTTCCGGACACCTTTGACCCCACAGGTCCCAAAGATCAGTGCGCGTCAGGAAGAGGCACCTACCCGATGGGTAGGCACCTACTCCAAGCAGATCATACGGTGGCAAGGCAGTATACATTGGGAAGAGGAGTGCCCATTAGCCTCCGGAGATCTGCCAGCAGTCAAAAAGTTCAAACGTTAAAACACCTAGTTGTTTCATAATCAAAACGTGTTTGCCGAGTTGTTTATTGCTAATGAGCACTCATCTGGCCTAGGGATACTGCGCAGGGACAGCAATTTGGCGAGTTATAACTTTGTATTAATCTAAAGTTTACATATCTGTATGTTTGACCAGGTACGTGGTGATCATGATGCCGCACATCCCGCGGATGAGTCGGGCCGTGGCCACGTGTGTGGTGATGGCGGTGTGGGTGTGCTCCATGCTGTTAGCCATCCCCACAGCCGTGTATTCACGTGCGCTCTACTATGTCGACTTCCACGGTACATTCTGCGGACTCGTCTGGCCCATTGGTCATCAAGTCAGGTAAGTAAAAATTGCGAAGGTGTTACTGTAGTGAAAGCAGTACAGATTGGAAGGTCGTGCAACCTTCGGCTTCCTGAACTTCCCCATGTCGACCCGTTATCCCTGCTGACTTCCAGCTAGATTCTGGGACTTCCACGTTCACCCATTTTCTGTGTCTGACTTTTTGTCATTCTGCCCATCTATCCATACAAACACATACACACACACACACACACACACACACACACATACACATACACATACACATACACATACACATACACACGCACTTTCAACCTACCCTACAGGCATTCCCAGAGACAAGAAGACAAACCTACATAAAAGCAAGACTTCCCTACCCAGAAGTAATAGAGACAGCACAATATAGGAGCTAGTCTACATTAATCCGACGTAGAAAATTCCAGACACGCCCTACATATACCAATCCAATAAAGCAATCTATTCACACCATAATCACGGCTTTCATTTGAGTCAGGGCATTGAGTTTCCATTTCCGTGAGTCATAAATGTAATTAAGGAGTAATAGTATAAACTGATTGCACAGATGTGTACCCTGAAGATTCGTGCCCAGAAGCTTAAATATACATCTATCATCGCGGGTTCCCGTGAACGAAACGTTTGGTCTGGAGGTTCCATACTTATGTCATATACAAAAAATATTATTGGAATGCCAACATGAGTTTTCATTTGAACATGAGTGATAAACATGAGTGTATGTTGATATATTTTCATATAAATTATACATACCTTGTGCCAGAAGGCCATTACACTGATTTACAAGTTAACTAAAATTACCGGAAAGATACCGTGAAGGTAATGATATCAGTTATTTTATAGTTCCTGTTCTAACACAGATACAAGGCTTACTATTTGGCTGTTCTCCTGTTGGAGTTCATCGTCCCTGTCCTGATTATGTCGTTCTGCTACATCCGGATAGCCCGCCGGATCTGGTGAGTAGAAATGGCTGACATTTTTTCAGTAACATTTCTTCAAGCATTTTGGATACATAAGACCGATTAGAAATCATCTTTTAACTATTTTTTTTCTAGGAATTAGTCTGGTGTCAAGCATACTTTTATAGCCGATTAAGAATTCTCTACCTGGTTTTCATACTGCCGTAGATCGTATGAATTATCAACAAGGAACATCCCTGGCTAGGGATCATGAACTTTAACATAGACCACAATGCATCATGACTGTGCTTGCGCACTAGCACCTGCAACATACTAGTAGCTTACAAGGTCGCAGAACACAGTATTAACAGGCGACCCCCTATGACGCGAGTATAGAAATTAGTGCGGACAAAACTCTTGAATCCTGGCTAGAGCGACTTACTCTAGCATCCTACTATAATTTTTATTGCGTCGAAGTCAGTCACCTCGGGGTGCTTAAATATAGAAATACCCATAAGGCGAAAACTGTGTTCTGCCACCACAATGTTAACAAATATCCCTCCGCCGTACGTCAGGTACCGGACGGTTCCCGGGCAGCAGACTGAGTCCCAGCAGGCCGCCATGTTGAAATCCAAGAAGAGAAACGTCCGACTGCTTATCGTCATTCTCGTAAGAATTCGCTTTGCTTTGTGTTGGTAATACATATTTTGGGCATACCAGTATCAAAACAGCGTATAAAAAACAAATTTAAGACGTACAAAAGCAAACGTGGGTGCTGTGGATATGCTAATAAGTAGTCTGGAAGCTATAATAAAAAAACAGCAACTTTAGGAAAAATGCAATTATCTTAGGCAGAAAACATTGATATGTGCCTGTCAGTGATTTCATTTGAATATATAGAGTGGAAGAATACATTTCGTAATCTATATATAAATACTATATATATATCAATATTTGTATTAATAGAAAACTTTATTGACAAAGCAAAATACAGTGACTTTCGTATTATAAAAGTCTATGACTAGACATACAGACACGTCGGGGACCTATGTACAAGAGTATGGGTGAATCAACTTAATATACTACTTGTTCTAAGGTCTAAGCATGCTTTGATACAGGTGATGTTTGTCCTGTGTTGGGGACCGTACTACGGCTATGCCGTGGTGAGAGACTTCTTCCCGCGACTGCTGGCCAAATCACGACTCAACATCACCCTGCACTACATCGTGGAAGCGGTCGCTATGGGCAACAGGTGCTGAACTTTTGATGCCTAAAGATGAATGCATTTAGTAGAGATATTAAAGATGTTAAAACATGAGCTATTTAAGACGAAGTATCTACATATGTCAATTGTTATACATTTGGATGTCAGTAGACTTATATGTCCACATACACGTAGATACTTATAGGCACTCTTTCATACTATGAATTATTTAACTTCATTTAACTAGAAGTAAACTTTTGATTGGAACAGCGAAAACCCACCCCAACCACAACTGGATACCAGGTTAGCCTACCTGTAGTGTTTCGGTTTTATCTATCAAAATACACTCTCTTTTCCAGCTCCATTGACACCGTGGTGTACATCGCCATGAACGGCAACGTGAGGAAGTTCATGAAGAAGCTGCCGCACGACTGCTACACGTCCTACATGCAGTGGAAGAACCGCCGGGTCCAACCCGTCGGTCTCTCGGGCGCAGGAGGCAGACGTCCCGCAGCCAGACGCTCCTCCACGCGGTCCGACAACACCTTCCCTCCGTCAAACTACTCCAACTACAGAACCCGCGATGTGAAAGAAGTCTTCTGTATCGAGGACAAAGTAACTCATAGATCAAATCCCTACTCTGGTGAGTAAGGGTCATACGGACTGTTTACTATAAGGACCCGTTAATATCGTCGTACATCGTACATGTGTCCTCTAAGAATCAGCTGTCTTAATATTCGAAAAAGACTGTCTTAGATTCTTGTCGGTAGTTGGTTCTGTCATCGGCTGCCTGAAAGTTCAAAGTCGTACGACGACCTACGACAAATGTGACCGTGACGTTACTGGCAGTAAAGTAACTATTGATATAGTCAAATAGTTTTATGTACTATGAAATGTAGGATTGGAAAATCACAAGACTACAAGCTAGCTAGACCATACCAGGGAAGCACATCTCAGTTTATTACTTTAAAGACAAAATCAAATCAAAGACAAGAGATCTGATGCTTTTCTGATTATAGGGCAACATGTGATACCATGAATGACACATAGGACAACATTTACAATATGTAATCTTTAAAGACATTACTTTGTATGTAAATGTTGAAACACAATTTTGAGGTTTCGAGGGTTACAAAGTTACCAACTGGTGTAACAATCACTTAATGTCGAATAAACTGTGTTGTTAAATAGATATACAGGATATGATACATTGTTCTAAAACACACACACACACACACACACACATATATATATATATATATATATATATATATATATATATATATATGAAACACACATACAAGCATACATACGTCTTACTATCAATTCATCTATCCATCCATCTGTACACGGAAAATATACATTTATGCTATGAAGTTGGTCTGTGTTTCAGGGTGGCTACCTCTATTGTAACATATAGCACGTGGCTTTTTTTGGATACTCTGTGGATACTCTGCATCTAGTACATTACGGTATGTAGCGTTCGTTCGAAGGGTTTATTGAAAACTTCGTGATTACAACGTACAACATGTTTTAACTTTAAACATGTAACAGACGAACTTTCATGGTAGTTTCATGTTAAGCGTCATTGTAGATTAGCTAGGTGCATGTCAATATGACTATGTTCGAAATAATATCATCGGCTGTCTGTGGCTATATATATATTGTGCAGCAGAAATATGTTATAGGACATGTATATTACACCTATGGACAAAGACAAAGTAAATCTCGTGCGTATCGAATTCCGTGTACAGTATCAGCAAGCTGTCCATGCGTGCCAGGCTTATCACTAATATGTATATGCGTATAAAGTTCTGTATATTGTTATGAACGGCTAACTCGTGATGTGTAAAGAGATATATGTTACAAAATAAAATATTGTATGCTTCTTATTTCATAGCCTATTTCCTAAATCTAATTTTTTTGAAATAATGGGTCTTATTTTGCATTTCGTTGATTACAGACGACAATCGAACCGATTTTGGGTTATATTTGTGTCAAATTTGAATGCCAACCACTCCCCGACCTACTCCCAAGCACCAGAAAACCTACTCCTAACGATGGTTAGGGTGTGTTTGCCTGGTGTTCGGGAGATCGAAGTCGTGAATTAGTGACTTCAGTCCACGTTGTTAGCAGGTATCTTCTTTGATAATAGCGCTACCTAGCGTTATTTTAACGAAAGGCAATGCAGCGTTTTTTGTACCTCCTTGATTCCATTGGAACGGCAGGAACTGACTTCGATCGAGATATACGACACGGCCATTACGACCTGTGACTAGCGAAGGCATATGTTTGTATAACTGAATTATTGGAACATAGAAACTTGAAGATTAGTAACAGTAACCCTCATATTTTTTTTTTCAAATATCAAAGACATTTTTGAAGTTGTCCCTTCTGTAACCACTGGTGTACATGATATAGTAAGAACATTTGATATAGACGAAGAAGTGTAAATCGTATAGCTGTAGTTCATATTTATGTCACTAGGTGCGTTTGCGATAAGTCTGAACAGCAATGGGCTTTGTGGATGGAAAGGGATCGCAAACGACGGACGTAATAATAAGTATGTCAAAACGAAAAAAAAATATTCTGGATGAGAACATCCGTCTAATACTGACATTTACTGTCATTTCTTCGGCATAATTTCTTTATCATTTCATACCTACTGCGTTTGAAATAGCCCACAAAAACAACCTGAGGAGAGACCCTTTGTTTTTATGCACCACCACGAATATAAGTACATGTATCTAGAACCAGCCTACGATACAAAACAAGATACGTAAAAATTTTTGACAGCGACATCACATTTTTGCCTGACAGATCCGTATGCAATGGACTTGGATTGATTCAACCTGCTACATGAAAAATTACTCTCCAAGCAGAGGTTTGGGTTTTTTTGCACTGGATTTTTTTTTACCCAACCCAACATTGTTGGGCGAAAAAAATTCCAGTGCAAAAAAAGAAAACCCGATAAAAAAGCCTAAAAACATGCAAAAATAACCCCAAACCTATGCTTGGAGAGTAACGAAAAATAACTTACAGTTTTGCCGCCTTGAATTTGCATTGAATGCCTTTGCTAGAGCAGAAATAAGTGTTGCTGACTAATGTGCAGCGTTATTGGTGTCCTCAGGCTACCAGTTTACGGAATCAGAAAAATCTCCTAAAGGCCTGCAAGGTGGCCATTAACGGGGATTTGTAGTATCAGCACATTCGTCATCAGTTCTTGCACCCCCAGGCGCTGTAAATCGCCTAAATCGTTGTAATTGATGAATTTCAAATCGTGGCCAACCGCTGTGACGATATCTACTGAGGGAAAACCAGACGGGCGCACATGTACGCACTCGTGATAGACGCACGGCGCGAGTCGACGTCTTGTTTTCAAACCATTATGTTGTATCTCAATGGAAAACAGAAGCTCTTTCACAATTCTGTGCAATCCTGCGGCAAAGTCCAGAAACTGCCTAAAAGGAAGGGGATCAACATGGATTCTACTAAGTCCTCCTTCTCAGACAGATTTGGACAATTTGGCTCGTTAAAAGTAACTCTGCACAGGTCTGTCTACATCCAGGAAATAGCCGATAGGAAATACGCCGTCTCTTCTCAAATGTTTTGTAGAAAATGGTGAACATTATTATATATCATAATATTATTGACAGGGATTTTAAACTGAATCACATAATGTTCAGCGCCAGAATTTGTTTACCACTGAACCCACTGCTTCTGTGATACTTGACTGAGGATACAGCCTCAAGTAGCATATTATTTTTTTTATCAAGGGAGGATATTAAGCCTAATACGAGACTGGATGATTTGTAGTCAATCAACAACTCCGTTCTGTAGAATTTGCACCATCGCACACCGGGGCATGCCCTTACTTTTTTTCGAAACGTGTGGTGGGTTCTTAAACGTGCGTGGTCTGAAACCACAGTGTTAGAAATACCCATCTGCAGTCTGCATTTTGCAGACACATTTTCAATATTGCGGAAGAAAATAAAAGCAACCTGTAATTTTGCAGACTGGAGAAATCAGGCTAGGGGTTCAATGGTTTTCGTGTTTACTACTTATAATATCGTGTAATATAATATAATGTACGTATAATATCAAGTTATATTTTCCATGTATTTTTCAAATTGCACCTAAGATGTTGGCCAACATGCAATTTTGTATATATAGAAGAACTTTATTGCACGACAATTGTACAGGGTACATTGTATGGCAAATAGGTAACAATAAGTAGCATAGTAAAATAGATAAGTATAGAATAAAACTTAACAACTTATATGTAGAAAAGAAATAATCAAAAGTTAGCTTAGGCTTTACAATCAGGCGGAGTTACTTATGCGTACATGTGACAGCAAATCAGTATTCTTTCTAATAACAAAACTATGTCTTTTATGTATCTACATGTATATGACATGGTTTTAGATCCGGATTTTTAAGTGTGCATGTTCAGAAATTATTTCCGAATTGCACAACAAAATTTTGACATTCTGCAATTTTACAGAACACTGAAAACAGTATTTCTACCACTGAAGTAGGTACTCATTTTGTGAAGTGAGGAAAGTCATTGGCTTTTTCCAAGGTGACAACTTCGGGGTATGTAACGTTAGGTGGTTCCGGACCGAATGCCCAACCATTACGCCACACGACACCAACGTCATGTAGATGGTAAAGCCGCGCCTCAACGAGCAATAGACCAACTGTAACGGATCTGTATCTATCCCGCACCGCTCGTTCATCAATTTTAATTCCACAAGGGCCAAAAGGTCACACTGATGGGAAATATTCCTTCACGGGGGCTTCAATGTCGCATAAATTCATATCTCCTACTTTTGTGTACGGTTGACTTGAGGACATGAGTATTTATCATCTTTTTGAAACGTCGGCACGCTGTTGAAAATGTCGAAACGCTGTAAAAGTCTTCTTGTTAGTAGTTATTACTTTGTCCTTGGCATAAAATTATCATTTCATGGCGTCGAAATTGGTAGTTCCTACATTTGTGTACGGTTGACTTGAGGACATGAGTATTAACCATGTTTTTGAAACGTCGGCACGCTGTTGAAAATATGTGGAAATGCTATAAAATTCCACTTGTTTGTTGTTATTACTTTGTCCTTGGCATAAAACATCCTAGCGCTCTACTGTAGCGGATGGGTAACAAATTATTTCAGTCATTTCATGGCGTCAATAGCGCAATGGTACGACTAGTAGACTCGAGATCAATTTATGAGATTTTATTAGCAAGGTGTTTTTTTATCGTACCTGCGTCTTCCGAAATGATTAGAACTTCTGATTCATATCTCCGAGTTACAGTTGTACGCTATTCCGTTTATAACGGCAGTTAGAACACACTGACGCCAATACGTAATACCATCATTTTATGTCGCCTGATAACACGTTTGTCACAACTGACCGAAGATGCTTCTGGATATAGAGGTATTGGGCAGTAAAATTGTCCAAACGATAGAGAGTCTTTCTTTGCATTAAAGTAAATTGCATTTATGAAGTGGTATTTCCGAATTGTCCTACTGCGTATCAGATATGCGTATCAGAATAATGATTACATGCCTGGTTGCGTTCAAGATGGGAAAGAGACAGTTATGTTTTAGATTTGTATTCATTTGGTAAATATTGGTAATTAATGGACTAATATCTATGCTATTTTATGGTGTTGGTCTTTAGGATGGTTAACACATGGCGACACACTCAAGTTTTTTTCAACTTATATTAATGCCGCCACCAACACAGGGTACAATACAATGTTCATTTTCACCTGAGCGAATTAAGGAAAGTCGTGTTACTGTAAGTGCCTTTCCCAAGGGCACAAGATAGGTGGCATGTATTGCCGAACCCGGGACCTCTTGGTTCCGAGTCGAGCACTCTACCGCTACGCCACATGACCCCACTGCTATAAAAGCAGATTTATAAGTACGAACTATTGATTGATATGCAAATAAGTAAAGACAACTCCCCAGTGTCACTGACGAAAGGTACTGGCTGCTACCTGAAACGTCTGACCGATTACAAAATCATATCCAGTTGCTTGAGTAATTATTCTTTGGCGCATACATTTTTCGATATGGGAATCAACTTGCATTTGCTGGCAAATGTCGAATTTTACGTCAACTACCCCTAACACTTGGCGCGTAAAATCACCCGAACGGATAGAATCAATCATGTCCTCGTTTGAAGGTTGACTCGTCAGAACACAAGACCGCCTCCGATGATCCCTGAG